AAGTGGAAAGCAGAAGGGAAAAAGCATCTGTTCAAAGTATATCCAGGTGAGCCATCAACAACAGGTTAAGCTATCACCAAAGAAAAGGGAACTGACAGTGGCTTTCTCATCTCTCGTAGGCACGACACATGGGTTTGGGAGCCGTCCGAATTTTGATATCCTCAAGGTTAAGGAATCATGGGAGACACTCATGCAGGATATTCCATCTTGGTTCAAAGAGAATTTGTGAGGATTGAATGCTTGGACTAGGTGGGGCTCGATTCTGGGACAAGACTTGGAAGACATTTATTCCGTACACCCCGTTATTCGCTATTCGCCGCAATTATTGTTTGGCTGTGATTATCACCACACAGCTGATCGGACTAGTTCAAAGCTCCAATACCCTTGACCACGAAACAATGGAAATGATGATGATCCGTGTGCAATAGGCAATGATCATTGTGCAATAGATCGTAGATAAGCACGTATCTGAGCCTTTGGGATCAAATCATTGAGTGAAATAATGCTCAGAGATGAGAACCGTTGGACTGGCCTTGACCGCTTCTATCCGACCATGACCCTGCGAGTGAACCCTAGATCGATCATACGCATCCTAGCCTTATGTTAACAGCACGCAGAAAGCAAAAAAGCCTGATAGCAAGTCTGTCGATCGTAGCCCGCTACCTGAAGAGACCAAAAATTAGAGTCGTCTACTCGGAGCACTCAACCGGACGGCTGTTCAGTCGTACATACGCGCTGCTGACCAGTGTATGTGAAGCTTAATTAAATATGACATACCTGTCGAGTTATTTGATCAACAGAACGGCGTATAGGGACGATACCACGATCGGAAGTGGCAAGCGATTCATGGCCAAAGAGCGGTGCTGGATCAGTCTCCAAACCTGCAATGTACGCGTGTATCCCTGCTGAGCAATAGATGGAGCTGAGCGGCAGAATAAGAAGGCCCGGTACCCTGCCGTACTATCTCGCTTTGGCGTTGCACGCACTCTTGCTAAAATCGAACGTTTACGGGGTTCTGTATTCATAATGCCTGCAGGTATGCAACCCATTACGCAAATTTTAAGAATATACATGACATACGGGCATACTTGTTCGCTGCGTAGCCACCGCTAGCTCCTTCCTGCAGTGTAGCTCTGCTCGCTCGGTGTAATTATGTTCTTTCGAACAGGGATAGTGGTGATCTCTACCCGGTAGTCGGCAATCCTGCTCCAAAGCTTTCACAGAACCACAGAAGCCGGGTAATCAGGTCGTATGATGCAGAGAATAGACTGTACGAGTCCGCGCCTAAGAAAACGACATCGAGCAAAAAAAAAATGCACCCGCGACCCTGCACATGCCCTCATTATCCATCTTGTCTAATACGAGTCGTTATAAACCGGCGAGAACCTGTCGACACGAGGACCGGTATCTGGGTTGGAGCAAGTCCACCCGCTGTGAAGGCGAGTTGCCCGGATCGAAACCCACTTTGGGCCAAACTGGGAAAGGGAGGTGAACCAAGAGATAAGCTCTCCATG